GGGAAAGAGCCTCAGAGGCATATAATGCCAGCCTCCAAAGCTGCCATTTTCTCCAGAGGAACTGATCTCTGTAGTCTGGTGATCAGTTGTAACTATAAAATGTAAACTGGGATTTGAAAACCTAGATTTGTAGCCAACTATCCACCAGAGCAACAGACACAGATTTTCCTCTGTGTTCCCTCTTTTTTTTTTTTTTTTTTTTTGACCACTGAGAAAATGATGTGTGGAGCTGTAGGGCATATGTGGGCAAAAAGCCAAATGGGTTCAGAGTAGCAATGAGGATGTGAAATTGGTTCCACAAAATCTAGAGGTTCACTTGTTGCCCCTAATATCAACCAGGGAAAACCACATACATTGCAGTTGCAGCAAATGTGTATTTTTGTCTACATCAAGAAGCGGGAAGGCACACTTTTATCTATCCCAGCATATGGGAGGAGACTTCTAGGAGAGCCTTTTCAGCTGCTTTTCCCCATGTTATGGAATTCTTTGCCCAAAGGAGTGAGGCTGTGGCACCATCTTTGCAGGTCTTCTGGAGAAAGTTGAAGACATTTGAGAAGGCCTTTGAGTTAGATGATAGTTTGACATTGCCATGATAATTTTATGCAATAATTTAAATATTTTAAAATCTTACTTATGTTTCTGTGAGTATTGTGAACTCAGTATGGGGCTGAAGGACACCCTTGAAATTGACTTGCAAAATATTCGAATGATTTAGTGTTATTTGAATACAGGTAGTACAGAAAATCAGGGTTTGGTTGGCCACCTATTCAGGGTTCCAGCTAATTTTATCTAGTTAACCACAGTTTGTACTAATTGTGGCAGTTGTGACAACTTTGTGTGGTGGTGGCCAATGTGGTCACAAGGACAGTGATACAAGGGAAATGTCCTTCCTGATGGGAAGTGGAGAAGAGGCACGAAGCAAACAAACCAGGATCTTTCACACAAAACTGGGATTAATTATATCAAGCAAAATAAACAAAGCCTGTTACACAAATCCTGGTTTAAGCAAACTACAGCTTCTGATTTCTTTGGCTTAGCCTGTATTGAACAGTTTATTTTGGGTTAGATTTCAGTTCCAGTGTCCAAGTGCACAATTTTCCACATTGTTGAAAGAATGTCCAAATAACTTATTTTAATTTTTTAAACCAACTTGATTTTAGCTTACATCTAGTTGAATTGTCAGTCATGACACGGACTTGGTGCCCAGCATATGCGTTTTAATAAAATAACTTGTAATGGTGGGAATTTAGTTGAACACTCACGCAACTGTTGCTTGATAGGCAGATGGCTAAAATCTTTTACACTGAATAGTGACAGCTTCCCTGCTGAGCGAAGATGGGAAATCTTGTCTTTTTACCGAGATTTAATGTAAGCCACCAAATGCAAGTAAATTATTTTCATAAATGGAAAAAAATAGAACTTGACCCTTTATGGCTGTCAGTTACAGACCTAACAGGGAAAATTGTAATAGGGTCATAAGTCAATAGACTGTGGTTTTGCTGGTTCTTGTTTTAACCCTTGGCCTAATAAATTTAACTATAATAGTAACTGATTTCTTGTTTATACTACCTATGCAGATAGAAACAATTACACTTCTGAAGATGTGTACACCAGTGTTCCCTCTAAGCTGAGTTAGTGTGAGCTAGCTCACAGTTTTTTAGCCTCCGGCTCACACATTTTTGTCTTAGCTCAGGAAGGATGGCTCCAGTGCAAATTAATGTATGCAGTGGCCAAATCACCTGCTCACAACTTTAATGCCAGTAGCTCACAAAGTAGAATTTTTGCTAACAGGACTCCACAGCTTAGAGGGAACATTGTACACACAATACTTTCCTTACTCTTTGGATGGAGAGCAAGCTGTATGTGATGACTTTATAAAGCATTCTCCAGTCATTCCTGGGGGGGAAAACCTGAGAAATCTAGTTGATATGATAAACATATTTGCTTGGATAGCTGTCTGCCACATTGGCAAAAGGATAATGAAGAGCTCCCTTCCTTCTCTTGTTAGACACTTAAAGTTTTGGAGTTCAGAACTGAACTGTTTAAACATAACATTTCAAAGACTTTAAATGTATTTACTATGCATATCGCTGATTCAATTTGAAGTGAAATGCATGATTTTTGATTTCTAACTGAAGAGTGACACGAGGATTTCAAATTATTAATGAAGGGACTGTGGAAAGGGTGAGACAGGGATCAACAAACTCTAATGGGACCAGAAAAAATGGGAATAAACCTTTATCTTGGAGAGTACAGTTGTTTAGGGTCCATGACAGTATGTACCGAAATTAATCCAGGCAGAGTCTAGGGTTATAGCTTTGTATAATTTATTCACAAGTAGCCCCAGTGATATCATTAAGCCTGTTTGTGGAGAAAGACTTCATATCCTATTTTCTTCTGGTCATCTTCAAAACAGGTTTACCTTTCCACATAAATGCTTGTCCCAAAAGACAGCTTGAGAAGAAGGGAGCCAGCAT